TAGTGTTACCCCAGTTCCCAACACAACTGATTCAATTAATTAACACATTAACAGGTGTGAAAATGTGCAGGGCAGGGCGTACGCCGGGGCTAGGGTGGGAACCTATGTTGTAAGGTAAAATGTTAAAATATGCTGCATACTTTGACTGAATCAGGGATGTAACACAACACCATTTTCTGAATATGTTTCTGAATCTCTTTAGTGCTCATTATATCAGCATCTGGTCTTGGATTTGAAGCAGGAGTTGGTGTGTTATTAACCAGAAATAGTTGTTCCTTATAAGACATGAGCTTTTATGCAAATCAGCCTGTATGGACAGTACATTTGAGCTACTTGGCCAGAGGTATGTAGTTTAGACACTTCTTGTAATTAGTAGGTTCAGCTACTTCAGCACCCGTCATAAGGTGTATAATGTCCAGAATTAATTTTTTATTAAATACTTTTACTTTGCTACTTTAATTTTCATAACGTTACAGAGTAAAATTAAATGATGTGCGTATCAGCTTAGAAACCAATAATAGCGAAGCGCGGTTACATTTAAAAGATTCACCAATCAAAAGACAGCAGATCCGGCAGGAAAAACACTACAGCGATGTCCAGTTTAGAGAAGAAGGACAGATGAGAACTTGACCAGCACACACGAGGAACAGACCGCGGTCATCTGTATTCATTTTCATATGAACTAAAGAAACCGGCGTTATTATCAGCGGTCAAACTCGAAACCTGCTGAGATCCGCTTTCACAACTCAACTCCAGCCTGAGGCAGCGTTAGCCGAGCTAGCTGAGCTAAACAGGTACAGTGTTTACGGTTTTCTTCTTTCTTTTAAAATGCTTATTTATTAAACTTGAAATCTGCTGCGTATATTTTATTACAGTGCCTGTCAGTTACTTTAGTTAACAGGTGTCGCCTAAAGCCTGTAGTTATATACTCTAGCTTAGCTGCTGTTTTGGAGTTAAACGGTCGTTTACAGCTGTGATAGAAGAATTCTAGTACAGGTTCTTCGGAAACTCTGGACAGTGATTCTGTCGCGCTGTCGTTGACTGGCCTGATCTGATCCGCCCCGCCCTCTCTCTGTCTCTCTCTATCTCTCTCTCTCTCTCTGCCTCGGTGTTTGTCTTTAACTGTGAGAGGCTGTTTAGCCGTTTAACTGTTAAATGCAGTAATAATGTCTCATTCTGTATGAAGTGATCAGCATGATTAGTGAAATATATTACAGTAAAATCAAAGCTGGGTAAATTGCTGATGTTGTTGCTGATTTAAATGGTAGAAATGTTCTGAACAGATATCAGTGAAAATATACAGTTTGAAGGCTGTGAGTGTGTTTACTGTCTGTAGAGGTTCACACCTGTTAACGTAAGCTAGAATCCAGGGAGCTGATGGGCAGCAGGACTCTCACTGAAATTACATTATTAATTAAGCAATCTACTCATAATTTCAACTCAAACAACATCTGCGCAGTCTTTTAGGGATTCTAAAATACTTTATTGGAAACAAATAAACTTGGACATATTATATTATCATCTAACCATGAAATGCATGCAGTTTACTATAAACCTTGTTCCTTACACAGTTCACAGAAAGGCATGTAAATGTGCACTAGCAGAGCGAACTGTGATCAGTCTCAGATCTCAGAACTTTTGCTTCAGTGTTTTTATGTACAGATTGTTTCCAATGATGTAGCTGAGTCAGCTCAGAAATATGTTCAGGTTGTGACAGCAGAAATACAAAAGAGTAACTAAGTAACTCAGTACTTAAGTAGTTTTTCAATGAACTACTTATTTACTCTTACCTGAGTAATTTTATTTACTAATACTTTTACTTGTACTTGAGTAAATTATCACTACAGTAACAGTACTTGTACTTAAGTAGGGATTTTCAGTACTCTTTATACCCCTGCTGCTATGTTTGTGAAGTGAAAAATCTAGCAGCAAAAACAGCTCAGAGTTGAAAAAGTTGGCCACACAATTTAATCGAATTCAATTAAGTTCAGTTTAAGTTATTCTGGTGGTTTGAGCTCTGATGCTCCAGTAACACTTCCTGAATGGCAGAGGGTGGAACAGGCTGGCTAACCTATGGGGAATCTAACATGATGCTGCTGGCTTTTCTCAGGCAAAGGCTCAAAAAGAAGGTCTGACTTGATGTTTAGGTCTCAAATGCAAAATCAACATTACTTATGAAGATATAATGACAGTAGTAGATAATTCACTTACATCTTCTGTATACAAGTCCTTTACCAGGTTTTGACTGAGTTCTCTTTCAGTATTCTTTTAACGCACTCGCAAAAGTTAGATTCATCTGCTTGTGGGTTGTCCAAAGCACAACCCATGTTACAAAACATTCTCCTGCATGTTTCGTGCAGTTTCTACCAAAAAGGTCTCCAAATGCCCAAATCTTACATAGTGAGCTTTAAACTTAAAACTGGCAAGTTTGAGTAGTTAGCTGATACCAAACGTGAGACATTAACTAAATGATGTTGAAATGTTATTCTATCGTATCTATATTGTATTTGTTGTGAAATGAGCTTGAGCTTGGTGTTTATCGATGCTTCTCTATGACTCCTCTGCATGGTGGAGCATCTCTTCCGGTGTGTTGTACCCTTCAAATCACTGCTTAGCAACCATTGTTGCCCGCCATTTATTTGATCGAGCATTTAAATCACAGAGCACCATCATTTCCCACATCTTGTCTTAAGAGAAGACCTTAAAAGACACATGATATTCTAACAGAGTAAAGTGTTTTGTTTTTAACCTTTTCCAAAGAGGAAAACAAACCAAAAGATCTTCCATCTTGGATTCATCTGCCTGCAAGCCTCCATTAGCTGAACTGCTGTGTTTGCTTAAAAGTGAGTAATTCATTTATACTTTGAAGTTTGCATCATCTTTCATGGGGTTCCAATTATTTACATTACTGTTCACTTTGCTGCTATTGTGATTTACATAACAGACCTTTTGCATGAGGTCCAATGCTTTGATATAATGATAAGTGAAATGGGCTTTCTCTCGAAAAACAAGATGTAATCTCAAATGATGATAAAAAATGACTTACATTGTGAATGCATGTTGAATCAGACCCTGAGTCAGTTTTCCCTTCTCAGATTTCCTTTATGAAGGTAACCTTTTTGAACGTTTTTGGGCCACAGTGTCAGTTCTGTTCTTTTCACCTGATCTGTGATGTGGTGATTATTTTTTAATAAGTGGCCATGACTTAATATAATGAGGCCACAGAATAAGTTTCTTGTGGCCATGTGGCCTCACTATATTAATTTGTGGTTGACTTGTGGTCTCAATATATTGTGGCAGCTGCCATATGCGGTGTTCAGAGAGAGTGGGACTTTAGGGGCTCGCTATGCAAAGTCTGCGCTGTAGCCTCGCAACCCCTGCGAAACGGACTGTTTGTGTTGTGTTTGTGTGTTTGTTGTGTTGTTGTTGTTGATCTTTGGTGAATTTTGTGTGCATATGTTCTATGTGTTATGGGGAGTCTGGGAGGTGGGTTGTTTGGCATAAAGGTTGGGGGTCACTGAGATGAGAGAGCCTATGGCTTTTGTTGACCTCCCCCATTGGTGATGCTATATTTTCAGTGGCTTTTCTGCCTTGTTCTAAATGAAAGAGCAGAAAATATGCTATCCCCTGACCTTTTTTGTGCACAACACCAAATATTAATTTGTGGCCATCAGAACTTGTGGATTCAATATATTAATTTGTGGTCTAAATATATTGATTTGTAGCCACGAGAAATGTAAGTTATGGCATCAATATATTAATTTGGCAACGCCTTATTAAAAAAATTGTGATGTCATCTTATAGGCTCCGTAATATCTTAATACTATTTGAAGATTTTGCACGGTTATGTCAGGTCTTGCAGGGCTGGCCTGGCAATTTGTGGGGCTGAGGGTCACTTATTATGCCACTGGCTTGCATATATTATTGTCATTATTACCCAGTGACCTGCAGTGTGGCAGTACTCCAAAAGCACCTTCTTGCACTAATCTTGTTCAGCTGAGGAGCTGTTCAGAGCAAATACTCTTTGCAGTAAAGGCCCATCCTTCCACTTCAGTGACAGGTGGCTAAGGCCCAGAAACACACACACACACACACACACACACACACACACACACACATACAAAGCTAAACGCTGTAGCACTGTCCCTGTGTATAAGCAAAGCAGGAGCCCTGTCATCTTACACAAAGTAACCTTCATTACCTTCTGCATCACTGTCTTCCTTAAGTTAGGTAGCCATTACATTAAGGACAGTTATTGAAAACGATCTCTGCTCCATTACATTAAATAAAATCAATATTATAATTCACCTACATTTAAAAGATCCTACCACCATCCTGAAGCTTCGATCAACAGACAACTTGATATTCACTCTGCACTTACTCACCAGAGCAGAGCTCAATATGAATGCTGCCTGCAGTATGACCTCACTTCACCTGTCCCCTTCTCTCTATCTCTCTCTATCTGCTTCTCTCTTTCTTTTTCATTATTTATTCTATCACTGACTGTATCATTTATTTATCAGTGTCCCCACACACACACACACACACACACACATAGCTTCTGAGAGTGACCCTGTACGCCCACCCCCAAGACCCCTGAGTTAATGAAGCAGACAGACAGGCAGACAGACAGATAGATGTCACGTTAAAGCCTGAGAGATAGAAGCTGGGAGAAGATCTCCAGGGAAGATGTCAGAGAGTGTAAGAAACCGAGAAGTCCCCAGAATGATAATTTGTTATTTAACATGTTTAGCCTGCATCAATTCATCTACATGTGAGAGTGAAGAGAGGAGATATGGAGAGAGAGAGAGAATAGGCATTCATAACTGTCATCATAATAACTTCAAAACATATAATAATCGTAATAAACATTTTATTTACTTTATTTTATTTACTTTACTTATCACCTTAAATATTTTTTTAATATTCAATCTGATTTATATGCTGGTGTATATATATATATATATATATATATATATATATATATATATATATATATATATATATATATATATATATATATGAGTGTGTATCTCCATTCTTGGTGTCTGTTTTTCAAGGCTGTATGCAGTGCTCTCAGACACAGCTCACTCCAACATCTTCCTCGTGTCTGCAGTCATTCTGTCCTATGCCGTTGTGTGGACAATCAAAGATGCTCCTCTCTGTCCCTGTACATCTCACCTCATCCAGCAAGATACGACCCGTTCCTAAAACACAACACACGGAACATCATGTTCAGAGACCAGTCAGGGTTTGGTTACCATACCTGCTGAAGTGCAGAGAAGTGTTGTACATCTGTCCATCAGCTGAAGAAGCTCCTGTGAAAGAAAATGGTAAACAAAAAGAAAAAACATCTTGTCCCCAAGGCTGCTTCTGTCCCAGACAATGCCTGCCTGACATAATGCCTGAAGTGGCCTACTTTATGTCGATGCACACCAAACGTTCAACAATGTCTTCACTAATGACTCGTTTATACATCTGAGACACAAGTTAGCCTTTTTAGTTGGCCTCTACCCTGAGATGAGCACTTCAGTTCCATGCTTAGCAGTTAGCTTCTGCTAAGGAGCAAGGGTGGCAGGAGCTAGGCTGCAGTTCCATAAGGTGTGGGACAATGTTGAATTGTCCAATTCTGAGAGGAGATAGCAGGTACAAACGACTTTTTATGTTGCCTATTTTTAAATATGGAATAAAATATAATCAATGTTGTTAACTGCACAGGCATTAGGTTTTTTGTTTTAATAAATCTAAAGGATTTAATCCAAAGGAGACCTCTTTACATCTTGTTGGCAGCTTTATAAGACATTGGGCTCGTGGTACATTTTGCTAAGTGATGAATCATAATTTACATTCATACGAAAAGGTTAAATACCACATCATATATGTAGTCTGTAAAAGACATGTATTTTTTGTTAATTAGCATAAGAAAGGCACAGTGGAAAATTCAAGTCAAGATCTGGCCCTTACTTTTCATTTGTCTTGTTGAAAAAGAAGTAACACTAAAAGGTTGTAGTGACTCACCTGGTGGTGCTTTGTAGACAGACACAGCTCTCTGGAAAGACAGCATCTTACACACTACTGTGGCATCCAGAGTGTCAAAGCTGTCATCACACACTGTCCCCCACTCGCCATTATGCATTACCTCCACTCGACCCCTATTCGCACTGCCCACCAAGCGCAGCACAGCTAATGGGACACATATTACATGTACTGTTACACTGGAGACATATTCCACATAGAAACAAAGGATAGAGGACACATCAGACACTCACGTTTAGACTGAGAACCTGGCTCGCCCTTAACTCCTTTAAGGCCAGGAAGTCCATCAGTTCCCTTCTCCCCCTTTGCACCCTTAAGTCCTGGAGGACAGAAACACAGAATATACATATTTTTAATTCTTGACAGAATTTGAAAATGCCTGTTGCCCTTTACATTGTGTAAAAATTTCATGATGAGTGGACCAAAAGAAATGGCCCTAAATTACTTGGGAAAAAGTTTTGTTCTATAGCAGAACTATATATGATATGATTTCTTCTGAAGGACAAACAAAGTTGAAGCTGAAATTAATATCCTGAATTCATCACATTTCGAAAGAGAGATTATATCAAGTCAAATATGTTGACAAAAAAGTAAATATACAATGAATTATTTATAATTTAATTTTTTTTTGTTCACAGAATTCTTGGATCAGTGAATAAAACACCAAAAATGCTTTTGGCTCATTGTTTGGCAAGTTACTGTATAATTGTTAGACACACATTCACAAAGATGTTCCTAAACATACCCATATCACCCTTTGGTCCTGGCAAACCACGAGACCCTGTGAGAGTAAAAGAGGGAATAGTAATCATTCTCTGAGCTCAAATGAAGATTCTGAAGAGTCAGGCAGTATCTCATTCTTAAATAAACACTCACCAGTGTCTCCTTTACTGCCTTGCTGCCCTTTAGCTCCAGGTACACCAGGAAGACCTGCACATTTTATGTAATATAATAATGCATTCATCAACCGTACATGTTTACGTAAACTCCATGTCTATTATGTGATATTCGGTTTCAAGTTGCTGATTTACCTTGTAATCCTCTGTCGCCCTTTGGTCCTGGAGGACCTGGTTGGCCTGGAAAAAACAGCAAGTCATTTTCAAAGCTCAGACCTGTGTGTCATGCATCCATACCCACTGTGGCCGCTGTGTTACTACCTGAAGAGGCAGCACCACTGTCTCCCTTCTGTCCAGCTGACCCTTTTTCTCCAGGTGGGCCTTGCTGTCCCTGTGGCCCCCTGGCCCCAGGAGGTCCTGAGAGATTGACAGAGAGATCACATCTCAGTCAGTAGATTCAACTTAAGTCTGCTGTTTTAGGACAACAAACTGAGTGTTGCATGTATGTTTCTAAGTCTATTAATTTGTGGAGGACAAGTTTAACATGTCACATCTCACTTCCCTTTCAAGGTTCACAGGCATCTTGGAAAACTGAAAAACCTGGAAAATTGTAGACTAATTGTCCAGTCATGGAAATGCCAGAAAATAATGAAAAGGTCTGGAAATGTTAGTGAAGACCTGGAAAAGTGTAAAAGACTAAGCCACCAAGATTGCATTTTTAACGTATTTTTTGCACATTTTAGCTGCTAATGCCCAGTTTGAGTGTCCATTCATGAATGTACTGAAGTTTTGAATACTGGAGCATCACATGTGGGCAGATACATGGAACAATGTGTTGGAATGCCTTGTAAACTAGGGTTGTATTCACATGCACCAGTTTATATAATGTTCACTTCTAATTTTTGTAGTAGATCAAATAATGATTGAGGAATGTTTGTCAGAGCATGTATGTTCACTCACTCAGAAAGAGGTCATTAGGCATTGTATTGTTTACTTTTTAATGTTAAGAATGTTAGCAGTTGCTCATCTTTTTGGATGAGCTTACAACTGTTGTGTATATAAGTGATGGAAATTGTTCTAGAATATATCCTGAAGAAAGCAAAACTTGTTATCCCTGCACCTCAATTTAACTTCTGTATGTGATTTATGTGTATCTTGGGATTCTGACCTGCAGATCCTGCCTGGCCTGGTGGCCCTTGTACGCCAGGGCTCCCTTTCGATCCTGGAGGCCCTATAGGAGAGGTGTAAAAGAGGCTCAGCATTCAGAGGACGAGATAAATATTATGCAATACGTCTTCGTGTGGGAAAGTGCCAATATTATCCAAAATTACCTGGAATTCCACTCAACCCTCGTGCCCCAGTAACACCAGGAGGTCCAGGTGGACCTGTTTTACCTTCTAGGCCAGGAGTACCTGGAGAAAGTATACAATGAGATCAGATTAGATCATTAGTGCATGGTGTGTACAGTTAATGTTTTGAAACATACCTCATAATCAAGCAAAGAACTGATGAAACCGATGAAAATACAGTGGGATCTAAACAAATGATGAGCTCACTGAGAAGTATTTAAGAACAATACACACCTGGTGGTCCTATTTGTCCTGGATCACCTTTGATACCAGGGGTACCTAGAGAGACAAGAGGGAGGTACAGGACTTTAGATAGTGAGGATTAGTTCTGTACTTGTAAGAGCCTCAGACTAAGCAGCTGGGAAGGACTTTCAGCAGCTTAAGTCAGTTAGACATTTGACTACAGAACAGAATCACCATTTATATTCTGGTTTTAATAATATCAGACGCTGTGCTGAGTTATTAGATTACAAAGGCCCAATCACAAGCAGTTATCAACTGAGGGTTACTCTTAGTTGAGTTATCAGCTGAACAGAAAACGTTTCTTATGACTAATGCCCAACAGCCAATGTGGCATTAGATTTTGAACTTATGCAGTGATGTCAGACACATATGATCAATTCAGTGTGCAGTTCATCTATGAAACCTATAAGTAAGAACACAGAATTATATCTGGATGAATTCTTATTGACTCCACTGTGAATCTGATTCTATGAATAACCTATGTTTGTTGGCAGTAGAGCTTACAGCAGTAATTCCAGGCAAAGAAATGAATGTAATAAACTTACTATTCATTCAAGGCTGTTTAGTTCACTAGAAAGCTGGAGGCTTACTTAATTTAACAGTTTGGATTATTTAAGATGGATTGATGAATGCATAAAGCTGTAATACCAGGTCGGCCTGCGTTCCCAGGTGGTCCTACTGGCCCAGCAACACCGGTCTCTCCTTTCTCTCCTTTCAAACCTGGAATTCCTGGCATACCTGCACACACACATTCACATAGTAACTATTATGTACAATACAGCTGAGCCATAGTCCTGAAAACAGTTAAACAAAAGGTAAGCACACACATCAAGGTCAGCTCAAGGTTTTGCATTTTTCTACACACTGACCTTGCAATCCTGAGGTTCCTTTAACTCCTGGTAGTCCTGGTCGTCCATCTGAACCTTTGGCACCAGGAGGACCTGAGAGAAAAGAGACATAGGAAACAGGGTTAACTCTAAGGAAGATGAATGTGTGTTACTACTTAATCCTTAATCAGGCGTCACTTGCAGGCCAGTTTTTACTAATAGAGTAACCAATGCTTTCAAACCTCCTTAATAAGCAAAGAGCATGTATATTTGCTATGCTTTCTGTTAGTAAACTCAAGGCTAATCAGAGCTATTGTGGTGCTGCCTCAGGAATTAGGAGAACCTTGGCTTAATCAAAGCCGAGAATGAGAAAACGCTGGATTGTGGCTGCCATAAATGATCAGCAGGGGGAGCTGTACACATGCATTTTAGGGAGCAAAAGCAAATATGAATGGATGAGCCACAAAGAACAGGCTAGATGATGTTATATGATGTATGATGTGTCATTCAAAGTATATTTGGGTAAGGTTAGTGGTAGATAGAGTTAAACATGAAGTGATTGGTTAGGGGTAGGTGTAAGGGCAAGCTATACATGTTATATTTGTGATGGTCATTTGCAGTTATATGAACCAGACCCCACTGTTTGTGTTTGGGGAACTGAGGGTGTTTGGTGCGGTACTAGAGATTAGAGGTTTAGAGAGTGTGATGTGTAGGGTATGTGGTGATTTTGATGAATAGTGGTGGTATTTTGCAGTGCATTGGTGCGTGCTGTTTGAAAAGAGAACTCACCCGTGGGCCCAACAAGCCCTGAAGGGCCAGCTGGTCCAGAAGGTCCTGGTGGTCCCGGCAATCCACGAAGTGCTATTGAACAGACAAGAGAATTGGGATCTTAATGAATCACTGTCTCCTATGGTATGGTCTTTAATCTGTACATTCCAGGTTGTCAGAACAGTTAATGCAGACAACAAAATGAAATAACCTCTGATAATGACATTTGTAATGTACTTTAAAATGAATAATTTTCTGAAATTTTATTTATTGCCTAAACAAAAACACATATCAAATATCTATGTGAGAACTTAAAACAAATGTCTAGATCTATTATTCATTTATGTATGAAGTGCACTAGAATCATACTGATGGTGTGTTCTTGTCTTCCTATACTTGTGAGGACCACGTGTCTTCACAATGATAGGACATCATGACATTTTTGCTCAAGTAAGGACATTTTGTTTGTGTTCACTTGAGCATGTGTTGTTTTAGCCACAAATTATTATTATTTTTTTAATAGCAGAAAATTGCCTTTTGGATGCTAAGGTTAAGATCAGGGTTAGATTTAGGTGTAGGTGTAGTTTTATTTTGTCACAGTAATACAAAAATCATTACAAACCTTTGGAATTCCTAACAATTATAGCAAGACAAACATCTATGTGTTTATGTGTGTCTATGTGTATGTGTGAGTTTTGCAGTGCCAGGCGTGATCCTCTAATGAGAACACACTTGAAAAACTTTTGCAATTGGATTGCACCAAAATCCACCACAAACAAGGGTACATCCCCTCCAAAATCTGCCCCAAATACTTCTAGACCAAACTCATTCGACATCCAGAGTACCAGTTGATAACACAAGACAAGCTAACTAGTGAACAGGGCTGTTTTTTCCTTATAAGAGGTTTGTTTTTATTTTATTTAATGTGTTCTCCTCATACATTACACACATCGTGCTTGATGGTTTTTCAGCTGAGCTAACTTGTGTTATTTAATGGGCTAATGACAGCCTTGTTGTCCATTGGACAATATTGACAAGCATCACCATCGCCCCCTACTATGGGTTTGTCTTTATGAGGATTGGTTTAGAAATATCTCTCTCAGTGTGTTCCAACTCTAATAAATCACAATTCCCACACACGTTTAGCTCGAAAGTTCTTATGGTTCTCCCCTCATGTTCTTGTTACGAGATCACCTGCGAGATAATGGCTGCTTCCAAAACTGAACACTACCATACTAACCAGTATGTCAAACATAGTACACCATCATTAGAATTCAATTCATTAATATAGTTTATATAGTATACTGTTAGAAGGTACTGCACAGGGACATTTTTCATTCATCAAGGTACAAACAATGTAAATGTACCCTCAAAGGTACAACAGTGGTTTTAGGTTCCAATAGCGTAACTTAAATAAGTTTTCCCAGGTGAAAAGTACATATTTGTATCTTTACATAACCTAATGTTTTAAAACGGAACAAAAAATAAAAAGCTTGGAGACGAAACAGAGTGTGTCGAGTCAATACAACTTAAGAAAAGAAAATATAATGTCAATGGATTATGGTACAGTTATGTTCCCTGACTAAAGGTACTGAGATGTACCCTCTAGGGTACCACCCCAGTGACAAGAGGGGTACTGCCCCAGTGACAGTTTCATACCTTTTCATCTGAGAGTGTGTAGCAGTAGTGGGATTTTGGACGCAGCTGTGTGTTTGTGTCTCACCTTTCGTCTGGTTGATGCTGTACACTTGGTATTGTAGCTGGTGGGCAGTGGAATTGAGCACGTGTATCTGTGTCATCATTGACTCCAAAGCTTTTTCTTCTCCACACAGGCTGGACAAACAAGCCTATAGGAAGTCCATAATTCCTAAGTGAAATCTGCATGTGCATGTTAGTGCACGTTTTTCACCAGTACTGATACTTAAACACAGTATCAGTATTGGTGAAAGAAAACACTAATAATATGTGCTAATTTCTGGCATGCATGCACACTACTGAGTGAGGCTTGCATGAGCACCAGTAGATGAAGCTTAACCAAGTAAGCAACATGTCGGTGGTGTGGGATTATTTTACGCTTAAAGAGAACAGTGGTGAAAATGCAAACTGCTAAATCTGTAACACCGATATTTTGAGGGAAGGCACAACCAGCAGGGATTTCAATAGATAAAATGTAATTAAGCATTTAAAAATAATCCATGCCAAAAAAACAGCGACTTTTTGTAGCTCTGAAACAATTTAAATGTTAAGTTATCCAGTCAGTAAATGCCATTCTTAGTATGCAAAACATTTAAAAAGTAAAAGGGTTCAAGCATTTTATAGGCACCTATCAAGTAGGTAGCTTAGATATAGTTAGTATCGACATCTGTACTTCAAATTGGCAGATATTTGAATCTCAGATATTGGTATCGGAAGGGGAACAGTGGTACCAGTGCATCTGTAGTGTGTGTGTATGTGTGTTTGCTGATGTGTGTGTGTGTGTGTGTGTGATTACCTGATCTAGAGGGGAGCTGCCCAGGTGGTGCCCAGCAGAGGAAGATTTGAGCAGCTCTGCTGTGGGATCATCAGTCAGTTGAGAGTGAATAAATGCTTCCAGAGTGAAGACTACACACACACACACACACACACACACACACACACAAGTAGAAACATGCATTTATATTATTCCTTCTATTAAAGCAGCAAAGCATATTCATATGCCTAGTATATTATAGTAAAGATTTAGATTAGTTTGGCCAGCTTTTTATGTTATTTTGTATTTATTTTTAAGTCATACATCCTACTCATCCTGTCATAACACCAGCAAGTGCATATAATATGAGCCAATGAATGTTTGACACACTATAAAATAAATAAAAAAATGCTAATGGTGTGTTTAAATTTCCAACCAAAGAATGATGCAAACAGTCAACTCAAAACCATTTATAACATCAGCTAAGTTAGACAAATGACTGACAGGCTTGGGCAGTGTAACTACATTAATGCCTAAATCATAGGTAACCATAAACCCACAGCTAGTGGATGAAAAAAAAATAAAAATAGAGATGACAGACAAGTAGTGTTATTGAAAAAGTACCTGCTAAGTCTGTTTTTTTGCTCTGACTAATGAGCAATCATGAAGTGAACTGGCAGAAATTCAGAGTTGTTGCTGATTGTATATTGTATGTAAACAGTGACAGACTACAGTGTCGGATGCATGCATGGCCTACATGTACAATCATTACATGTGTTTAAAATAGTGGTGTGCTGTCATTTTAGCAAATAGAGAAGTGGAGGGTTTTGTTATTCATCAGTCTATTACAGAGGCCCATTGTCACACTGGCCTGTGCTAGCTTGCTCTATCCACCCACTTTGATTGAAGTGTAGCACCACTTTTTTAGTCTGTGTTCGTCTCTTCAGCCCAGCTCTAGTACAATTTCTCAGAGCAATCTCATTTTCCAGATTAATAAACAGTTGTTTATGCCAGTTTCCTCACTTTCCCTCATGTACATAGTAGCTAGTCGATTGTTAGTAACTCCCTCTTATAGAAATTCATCAGGTTATTAAATATAAATTGGTGAATGTTACATGGGATGCTTTGCATATAAATTAATACAACAAATTTATTTGAAAACGTTGTTTTGTGGATGTCGTCCGTTATAAAAGGACAGACTAAAAATACAGAAAGAAAGACTGAAATAACCAGACCGGTGAACTCACTGGTAATATGATTTATAAACTGGCACACATTTCAACCCTTTTCCAAATTTTACAGAAACAAATCAACAAAAATGTGTATTTGATAAAATAATAACTTCATAGTTTTATATTAAAATAGTTTTAAAAATAGATGTGCCCTAGTGGACGAAATGCCCATGTGTGACAGCTTGTTCCACATAGTTTTCCGTCTTTGTTCTTTATTTCCTCTAGAAATCCTGAAGTGACTGCTACTTCCCAGTTCCTGGTACACTCACATAACTTTATTGATGTCATTAGCTATTCAGTCATGATCAAGGCAGATTTTCTTCCATCTGAAACCAGTGACCACTCCTGTGCTTTTTGGATTTTATCCGGTGTAACAGATTCATTTCTGAAACAAGTGTTTATGATGCTTAAAAATGTCTTAATTTGTCAATATTTTAATAGCAGACGTACTGTGAAACTACAGGTTTGAATAGTAACAGAATACATGCAACAGTGGTACATAATCAGGAAACATTAAAAGTAACTATATTTTGTTATAGTTACATAAAAAAGACAGTAATAAGACTACAAGTACATTACAATAACAGAATACATTACCACTCACACCAAACATGATTTTTAAGATTTTTGGCAAAAGAGGGCATTATTTCATTTGTTCTCTGTTTATTTTTAAAACGTTTGCAGACATGAACTCACTCCACCAATGTCTGTTGTCTCTGTGGTTGGCACTGCAGCATCCAAACTGACTAGACTGCTGGGTCCCAGCAAATACAACTTTTGACAAACATCCAAATGATTAGTTTGTCCTCTGCTTTATCACATGGTTTTGTAGCATCTAAAAATCAGCTGAAACTGAGCTGCAGACATGTGAAAGAAGTTGAAGTCTCCACAATACTTTGGTGTTTCCAAAATGGGAATTAGTCATGGCATTGGCATGCTTTGTCTTTTTTGTGCAGAGTAAAGGATTTCTTTGTCATTTGTTGTAAGTTTTGCATCCTCATGCCTTTTTTCACCATAAACAAGTAAAAATCCATGGCACCTGGCAACATTTACACGACTAGTTAGGTAGCAGTTGCCTGCTGTGGTGTGCTGTCAGCTGTTATAGTAAGTTAACTACTCAGTTAAATGCAAGGTCAGCAGCTTAAAATCATTTTTTTTTCTTTGTGGTAATATAAGCAAGGCTAGTTGGTAGTTGTTAATCTCACTATAGTGATGTCTCTGTGACCTTTGCTTCCTAGCTGGCCATAGGAAATTCTGGTTGTGCCATTGGCAAATATATACAATTATATGTTTAATTTTATCATGTATGTATAATAGATCATTTTGTTTCATAAAGCAGTGCATTTTCTTCTGTTTTCCTGTCTTGTTGAAAGTTGTTAAACTCATATTTCAAAGACTTTAAAAAGACACATAGTCTCAAAGTAATCAAATTACACTACATTAATATAGTATATCCTTTGGATTAGGTTACATATTACAATTTTTAATGTATGTACTTAATCAGCATTTTTTTTACCATAAACTGTACAAATACTCACAAAGCCATCAACCAGTATAACACATATTGATTTAATGAATACTGTGTATCTTCAAATAGTATATTCTGTGGTGTAAGTTTTCAGTACATGCAATTTACACATAGACAATTAATCCATGCTATTCTGATAAAAGTGACTTATAATCTGTATGCACAGATAGTTCTTTACCTTTGTAGGCCAGAAAGGCATTCGCTCCTGTGAGCAGAAGCATAAATATAATAATTGCTGGAAAACAGCAGGTCCTTCTAGACTTTGGAGGCTCCAAATCTGCAGAAAGAATGTGAAGATGGCACACTGTCAAAATGTTCCAGTTAAAACTACTCATAGGAAAGAAAAATCAAAAAAAGATATCAATAGTTTCTACTGAACAACAATCAGATCAGATGGAAAGATAAATGAGGCTTTTGCTTAAGTTTTCTGCTGCTCAGAAATTTCATATGTATCTCCTCTTTAGTAGAGATCTCAATAAAATCACACATTGTGTTCAGATTTGCCAAATAATAATGCTAATAATTATCTGCAATGGAACTAAAGATAGGAATCTCAGAATGAACACAATCATTCTTTATCCAAGACTAAAAGCCTTCTCAGTAGTGATGTTGTGAGTAATCATTATTATCTAAGCAATAAAATTTTCCTCTGGGTATAGACGGAAAATCAAATATACAGTGAATCAGCCATGATGCTAAAGCCAACGTTACTGCCTGCTGTAAATATGTTTTCCAAATGTTGAGTTTCTGAACTTTGAGTAATTTTTGCTACTTGAAATTGCTCAAACAAATCATTGTCTTTTCTACGGAATATTGAGCATCCCATAATTTTAGCACAGAAGTAGCTGCAAATTTCTAGTTTCCTGTTAATTACGTTGGACTAAATCACACTATCATGTGATTTCAGGTCTGGAACATTTTGCCGATTTTGTGATATTGTTATCTGTGTTATGAAAGTTTACTGGACTAGTTTGCAGTTTTAAAGAAATATTGAACCTGTGATGTGTGGTGGTAAAGCATTTACATTCTGCAGTACTCGTCCTGAATATATTGCACCATGATTAACACCTTAAACTGCAAGAGATGATAGGTGGGCCCATACTTCCCAATGTCTTATACAACTAACAGGTTAGTAGTTATTGAATATTTAGTAGTATTTAATGTATAATAATTATAGAACGTACTCTATATTCTGATATCTGTGGTTGGATACCTATGATTATATTATCTCAGATTCTACATTGGGCAAAATCCGTGTTACTCACCATTGGACTGGAATTCGTAGTGGCCTGTGCTGTGTAGTTGCATGTCGAGGTCATAGAGAGGGTTTTCTTTGCTGAAAATAGTGACTTTGTCCTTTGCATCTAGTTCTGTCTCCATCTGTTCCTCTGCAGTCACTGCCCAAGTTGGCGAGACTTTATCTTTTGAACCCCAACACCAGTAACACACACATGCACACAAACACACAAGTCTACATTTAACTTTTTTTCCAGCTATAAAAATGAAACCACAAGCTGACTCTGCAAAATAGAAGTCATCTGACTGTGAAAACGTGTAAAACAATTGTGATGATTCCTTAAAAGCTTTTCTCAGAAAGAGGAACTCACTAAGACGTAAGAAGGAGGCTTAACATGTAAGGACATTTTGCTTTTAAGTATTACTTAAACAGGATGCAGTCTGTTGGAAGACGGATATGAACATTCATAATGTTCAGTTTTAAGTTTCATTACTGTAATATGACTCAGGCCACCAAGGGTCAGTTGCATAACTGACGTCCATAAGACAAGTGGGTCCCTTCAGTAACTGTGATGCAGAGTCACGCATCATCATAGCTGGAAATCTCAATAATGAAACAATTATAATCTCTTTAAGAAAGCATCACTTTCCATAATGGAACAACAGCCACACATAATGTCAGCAGGGTTTGTATGAGTCTATGTGAAGCTCTGAAACACAGTTATAATGGATTAATGTGATTAAAATGTATAGTGAATGGCATGTCTTTGCCTACTGGTAAAGTCCCTGTGTTTTAGCTGCATTTGAAGAAAACATAACACTATGCTTGGTTTTGTCTGAAACTTATCTGTCTTGATAAGAGTGATTGCAACATACAGTAATTGAAAAGAACCTCTTAAATGGGCCCGCCGACTGGCCCAATGTTTTGTTACACGCTTCTATAACCTAATAATAGGTGCATAGGCCTCTGGCCTGTGTCTCTATGTTTGAGTGTATTTGTAGTGTGTTAGGATGATCACAGTAAGCAGGTGTGAACTTAATTGGGTGTGTAACTATAACTGCAGTCATAGAAATCTAGTCATAGAAATGAACAGATACAAAAATCCTGTCTGCTCAGAGAGAAAGGATTATGTGGTTATTGTGAGATTGGAGGGTGGATAGAACAACACTTTCACCTTTAAAATGAAACACTTCACCATAAAAGGAATTCTCTCAAATAACAAAAGATGGAAATGTACAGTTCTTTTTCTATGACGGACACACTGCAGACGCTGCCACTGATACATTATAGCCTGTTGGATAGCAAAATACAAGTGCATCGCTATAACTCAAAGCCATCTGTTCAAAAAATTAGTAAAGAATATATAGAAAAAATGGAACTCCTAACAACCATGCAAGACCTTATAGACCACCAACACTGTCACTGTCAGATAATCAACATTTAAAGCTTTGGTCTTTGAGAGAGAGGAAACAATCAAGCTCCACTCTTGCTTCAGATCTAAAAACAAATCTTGTGTTTCTGTCCATCCTTCGACTGTGAGAAGACAATCCAACACTATGAGTCTGAAAGGATGTGTAGCTGTCAACAAGTCCTGACTGTAAAAAGGAACCAGACCAAAAAGAAGAAAACGTTTTTGAAAATAAATGAAATTATATGTTTTAAATTTTTTGTTGAATTAATTAATTAAAAATGAATGAATTAAATTTTCTGTTAAACATAAGCTTCTCCTTTTCTTCTGACACTGAAAAATGAATAACTTGTACTTAATAGCTGTTTTGACTGGAAATTAAATAAATGAAAGGTGGTCTTTGACTTTTGCGCCCTACTGTACCAACAAAAAACACTGTTGTTATATTAAAGTGAGTGATATTTCTAACAACATTACGATACAATGATGACATTGTTAATAATTTTTATTGTTTGACTTTTTAGGGGTAGAGAAAGTAGAGAGACACTATACTGTACTGATATTACCCAATTAAGAGTGGACAATATAAATAAGTAAATAATATTAACAATCAGGCCTTTTTCCATTAAATTAACTTTTGTGCTGGTCACAAACTTATAATAGTCTTTGTACCCCATAAGGCAAGTTTGCCTCATCTTAACCTTTTTTCAACAAAGTGTGCGTGATGTGAGGACTAACATTTTTGATTTTCGCTAAATGATTTTTAAAGTATTAAAGGAAGATTTTTCAAAGTAAACTTTAAAAGAAAATGTGAATTTTTAACTTTGTTTCTAGCACCTACTATTCATGAGGAATTCAGCAGGAAGCAGCATAAGCGTGAAAACGTTGCAGCTTACCCCATCGTCAGTGTCAGCTGAATCAGAATTTGGAGCTGGTTGTAACATTCATTTGGAAAGTCTGGAAAATTGATGCTAACGCAAGTAATCTAGTGTAGTTATGTGTTCTTTTTAGCAAATATGGAGTGCCAGCTAACACACTTGGTTTGGTTTTATCCAACTTAATCAGATAAAATGTATCTGCATTAAAATAAACATAATTTGTGAATTGTGACTAGAGTTTGTCCAGGGCTGGGTGAAACACTGGTCATTTATTTTCGACCACAAAGTACATCACCATGTATCATGCATGATTAAACTGAATGTATTTTATTCACATTGCAATCATTGTTTACTTCAAGAGGCTTAATTGTAACACTGTGTTAAAAATCTCCCATCCCTGTTTAGCCTGGTTAGCTTTCATTGAGTTGTCTCTATTATTTGGTTCACATGATATATAATGAATTCTGTGACACACAGCCAATAATCAGTAAAAAGTAGTGAGTCTTGAGAAATGTATTTCATATAACTGTGGATGATTGCTAATTACGTAAGAACATGGTTAAAAACATATTGATCTTGAACCTGCTAGAGAAAAAAAAGTTCCATTTCATCTCATGGTATTGTAAGTAAAGGAGTTGTGCCAGTATCTCCCTTTAAGCTGAAATCACAGGCCAGCAGCTCTCTGAAGCCTCTCTCAGCTGTCAGTGAACCTGCCCTGACTGAGTGACCTTGTTTGCTGTAGGGTGAACTGTATGCCACTGATTTGTTTATGCATTTGTCTGAGTGTGTATTTGATGAGAGCAGCACTTTGTTGCTTGTGTGTGTGTATTTCTGGGTGATGATCTTGGGTGACCTTGTCAGTGTGCATCTCAGCAGAAAGAGGGAGAGACTGAGATGCTTAAACAGTGCTCTCTTTCTGATAAACATCCAGGGTATATTTGTGCAAAGAGACACTGATAAACATCTACAGTAATCTGGATGCTGTAACTGAGGTTAATAAAGCAGTGAGTGGCTATTAATAAAATAATGACCTTTTTATAAATAAGAAACAATTATTCCACCAAGACGTGTAGTTTGTTAATGGAAGGCTGTTGTTATGGAACAGAATGGTCAAAGAGTGTTGCATAAATGTTCTAATAGTTTTAATACTATCCCATTTCCAAAAAAGTTGGGACACTGCAAAATGTAAATAAAAACAGAATGCAATGATTTATAAATCACTTAAACCCTATATTAATTAAAGATAACAAAGATTAAAGATATCAAATGCTGAAACTGAGAAAGTTTATTGTTTTCTGAAAGCTATGACTATTTTCAGTTTGAGCATGTTTCAAAAAAGTTGGGACAGGGGCATGTTGACCACTGTGTTGCATCACTTCTTTTTCTTCTTTTAACAACTCTCTGTAAGTGTTTGGCAACTGAGGAGACCAGCTGAAAGTGAAATGTTTTCCCATTTTTGCTTAACATAGGATTATAGCTTCTCAACAGTTCATGATCTCCTTTGTCCTATTTTTCATTTCATAATGTGCCAAATGTTTTCAGTGGGTTGACAGGTCCGGACCGTAGGCAGGCCAGTATAATACTTGGACTCTTCTACTACAGAGCCATGCTGTTGCAATATATGCAGAATGTGGTTTGGCATTGTCTTGCTAAAATAAACAAGGCCTTCCCTGAAAAAGACATCATCTGGATGGCAACATATGTTGCTCCAGAACCTGCATGTATCATTCAGCATCAATGGTGTCTTCCCATGCCGTGTGCACTAATGCACCCCCATGACATCATGGATGCTGGCTTTTGAACTGTGTGCTGGTAACGAACTGGATGATCCCTCTCCTCTTTAGCCCAGAGGATCCATGATTTCCAAAAAGAATTAAAAATTTTGATTCACTGGACCACAGGACACTTTTCCACTTCACCTCAGTCCATCTTAAACAAGTGACAAACTGTGTTCACAGACAATGGTTTTTGGAAGTGTTCCTGAGCCCGTGCAGTAATTCTAACTACAGAATTGTATCTGTTTTCAAGGCATTGCCATCTAAGGCCCCGAAGATCATGGCCATCCAATACTGGTTTTCAGCCTTGTCCCTTGCACACAGAGATTTCTCCAGATTCTCTAAATCTTCTAATGATGTTATTTACTGTAGATGATGAAATCCTCAAGTTCTTTGCTATTTTGTATTGAGAAATGTTTTTTTTGAATTGTAGTGCTATTTGCCCACTCAGTCTTTCACGGAGTGATGAACCCCTCCCCATCTTTACTACTGAAAGACTCAGCTTCTCTGGGATACTCTTTTTATACATGATTATGCTACTGACCTGTTGCCATTAACCTAATTAGTTGTGAGATTTTCCACCAGGTATTTTTCCTTTAGCGTTACACAAATTTGCCAAATTGAAATGTATCACCGGCATCAAATTCAAAATGGGCATATATTTTTCAAAAAACAATTTGTTTTCTCAGTTTCAACATTTAAAATGTTGTCCTTGCACTATTTACTTTTAAATATAGGAAGTACATGGTTTGCAGTTCATCGTATTCTGTTTTTATTTACATTTTGCAGTGTCCCAACTTTTTTGGAACGGTGTCCCAACTTTTTTGCAGTGTCCCAACTTTTTTGGAACGGTGTTTTAACTTGACACATGAAACTACATATTATTTAAAATCTGTGGTTATATGAGTGTACGTGAAAGATGATAAAAGGAATATCTACTTTTTAAAAATCTGACTGGCTGAGCATTACAGCATCTAACAACATCCCTTAACAGTGGTAAACTCACTATAATGTTCCACTAATAGCTTTACTTTATTTTACAACAGGTTTGAACAATCAGAATTTAGAGTCTGAACTATCTATGATATGATTTGGAATTTGGAAGGTGTGGAACTCTTTATAGTGGACAAAGAAGGTACAGCTATTGATTATTTATTTATTTTATGCCAATCCTAAAATATTGACAAAAAAACA